GAGTTGGAAAGGTTAGAAATGAAAGAATTAAAATCTTCGACGCAGAATCCGTGAAAAGGCAAATGAGCATCGTAGAAAATGAAATTACTAGTAAGCATGACCAGCTAGATAAGGCTTTGTAAAGAAGGCAGAATGGAGGTGATCATGATCAGCAAGCTGTGTAAACATGGCAATTAGGGAGAAGATTTCCAACGTGCATGTCATCTCTGGGATTCATAAAGGTCCACACTCTGTGAATACACCCTGTCCTGTCATTAATACCGTTGCAGCCCATTGAGTTTTGAATAGTAACAGCATATTGTGCTGCTTCCTCTTTCAGAGAAAACAAAATGTGATTATAACCCTCCTTTTAATAATTTGGTAAAATAAGGATGAAGGTAGGAAAAAAAATAACGGGGTATGTATCTTCTAAGTTGTTGGAGAGGATAAAATCATACAAGTTGTAATCGGCTTGTTTAACCACAGACTAAAAAATAAAGATGTGTCCCCCCCCAAAAAAAAAGCACAAATGAAAATATGACATATGTAACAGTAGATAGGTTATGGCAGAATATAAAGTGATTTCACGTCCATATTACATCCGAGAACCTCAGATACGGTTAAGATCTATATAATCTAACCAACCTGTGATGGCATTAAATAGCTATTCTACTAACAAAACAGATTTTTTTTTTTGGAAAAAACTTTTTTAGTTATAGATGGACACAATACTTTTATTTTATTGATTTATTTGTATGCGGTGCTGAGGATCAAACCCAGTGCCTCACGCGTGCTGGGCGAGCGCTCTACCACTGAGCCACAACCCCAGCCCCCAAAACGAATTTTAAAAAGAAAAAAATATAGAATGGTAGAATTATGAATTTCAGATGAAGCATTATTCACACGCAAGAACTTTAAATAAGCAATGGTGATTTTTTTAAATGCCCCCAAAACAATGAAGACATTCCATTTATGTTATTTTAAACACCATAAAAGATAGGGTCAAATAGATAACACCGAAAATTTAGAAGTACAAGGAGAAACCACTGATACATTGTTATTGAACTTGATTGGTCAAGTAAATAAAAATAAGGATGTGAAGAATTAGAATAATCTGCTGTGAGTCCCTGTCTCAAAATAAAATAAATTAAAAAGGATAGGGATATGGGTTAGTGGCAAAGCATCCCTGGGTTCAAACGCGGATGCAAAATAAGTAAATTAATAAAATAAAATAACCTGACCAAGATGGCAAAGGAGGCAGTGGTCTCACTCACAAAAGTTTCTAACACATGCTGGATAGTGTACATCAGGAAATATTTTAAGTGCTTTGACAGGTATTAACTCATTTAGTCCTTAGAACCACCTTAGAAAATAGGTGCTATATCTGCCATATAGATGAGAAAAGAAAAAAAAAAGTGTTCAAATAAATATGATGTTTCTTAGCATCTTATGCTATATATTTTAGAATATGTATAGAAAACAGGGTAAAATTTCAAAAGTATAGAACTCAATAGAAACCAAAAAAACAGGATGTGTTAAAATTCCTACCCAGATTTCAGGTTAAAAATATAAAAACAAAAATTGAAATAAAAAGTAAATATTTTTTTACGTAATGAAAAGTTAAAAAAAAATAAAATAAAATGTTCTTGCTAAATAATAGCCAGCACCATACTTAGTAGAGGACCTATAGATGAATAAGAAGGAAACAGTGTTCATGATTATTGAAGCTAGATAATGATACCTGAGGTCTCATTGTATCAAGATTGCTTCTTTTGTTATTTGAATAGATGTCAGATGTTATTTAAATATATTTTGATTTCCAACGTTCCTTTTTTTTTTTTTGGTACCAAAGATTGAACCCAGGGTCACTTGACCACTGAGCCACCTCCCCAGCCCTATTTTGTATTTTATTTAGAGACAGGGTCTCACTGAGTTGCTTAGTGCCTCGCCATTGCTGAGGCTGGTTTTGAACTCTCAATCCTCCTGCCTCAGCCTCCTGAGCTGCTGGGATCACACTCATGTATGCCCCCATACGCAGCTGATTTCCAACATTCCTTAATAATGAATTTAAGGTTTTTAATTTACTTTAGGGAATACTTTTTATAAATTCATATTTGGGGCTAACATGCAAATTCCTATACCAAAAATTTTTTTTAAAAAATATGATTGAATTTAGTGATCTCCCATGTGGCCATGAGGGCAGATTTTACATGGTTTTCCAAAAGAAAAAGAAAAAGAAAAATCTTATTGCAGCCTACGGAGGAAGGAGCTATTTCTGCTGTCTAGAAATTTCCACAATGCTTGGACACATGGGTCTCCTGAAAATCGTATAGCTCTTCTCTTACTTTATTTTTTTATTTTTTTCCATTTCAAAATCACTCCGAATGCTCAAGCTGAAATAGATGTCCTTGCTACCTTGCCTTGAGAGATGGGTATCACTGGAAATGCCAGGGTTGGCAGGAATCCGCTTTGCTTCTGCCTGGGGCTATGCTGACTCTCGGTGGCAGACCCTTGCCGTGTTACGGGGGCAAATGTGCAGTGATGTGCATGAAGTCTGCTCCCAGCAAGGCTCAGACGACTTGACTTGACTTTCTGCAGGAAATTTTTTAAAAAAAAAAGACAGAAACACCCCAGTTCCCGGATGGCACTGTAGCCTAGTTAAGAGAATTGCTCCAGGGGATCGCAGAATGCCAAGCGGACCCGCCGCTCAGTTTCGGGTTAGAAAACTTTAAATTCAAGTTGACATTGCTTCTCTTTTCATTTCTATACTTATCTCAACTGGGGAAGTTGGGTGTTGGCCACAGAAAAAAACCAACCAGTGAAATACAACATAGAGAAGATGGGAGAAATCTGTGCTCCCACCCAGGCCTGCAATTGCTACTGTGTGAAGTCTGCCATGTTCTCCTGGATAGCAGATACCATACCCAACTTGCTCCATGCTGGTAGACCTTTTGCTTTTATTTTCAACAAAATCCAATGTATCCAGCAACAGTTTTTAACAGGAAAAAAAAAAATATATACATATATATATATATATATATATATATATATATATATATATATGAAATTAACATAGGTGATCTTGTCATGAACTGGCAGATAGCTCATAAAACAGAAAAATGAGAAATTATATCCCACCTCTGTAGGATATAGCAAAGTACATAAATGCATTCTGCTGTCATGTTTGACTGATTAAAACAAATTTAAGAATTTTTTTAAATAAGTGAATATATTTGAAAAAAACAAGAATTAACATCAAGTGTGAATTTAATGCAGAGGCTCAGGACTAAGCAGGCTAGAGGAAAGCAGAGAATGTCCTTCCGTCAGTTTTCGAATCATGAACACCTTCCTTCAGGAAACTACATAGAAACCCCTCCACCTTAAGTATCCCACGTGACCTCTCCGGTTTGAATATCAGAGTCGATTCATTGAGCTTAAAATACATAATGCTTTCCTGTGGTTCTGCTCATATTTTCAAAATGACAGTGAATGACCCCATTAAGATAGAACCAGGTAAAGCTGGGTGCAGTGGCACATGCCTGAAATATCCCAGCAGCTCTGGAGGCTGAGGCAGGAGGATCACAAGTTCAAAGGCAGCCTCAGCATCAGCGAGGCCCTAAGCAACTCAGTGAGACCCTGTCTCTAAATAAAATACAAAACAGGGCTGGGGAGGTGACTCAGTGGTTGAGTGCCCCTGAGTTCAATCCCCAGTACCCCCCCCCCAAAAAAAATAGAACCAGGTAAGACTCAAGTTAATCCTCCTGATCCTGGCTTTAAAAACTCTGGTCTTCACTGTGCCCAAATGTCTTTAAGCAGTAAGTAAAGGGTCCTCCTGATCACCTGTTTCCCTAGGGTCCCCAATACTCTTATTCCAGCAGAAGCAGAAAAACATTGCAGAATAAATGAATTGAATAATCAAAATAAGAAAATAATAAAGTTAAAAGAATTTCTGTCAACAGACAGCTAGAGTAGATTTGCCTTTGAGACCCTGGATGCCTTTGGGGGGAAAAACAAAATTAGGGACTATTCTGGGGGTTGACCCTGGGATGTGTCATGGATGCATGGCTCTTGTAAGCTGTTACCTCTTCATCACCCAGGAGCCCAGATCTTGAAGAAGACTAACGATCCCCTGCTGACTCTCTGCTCTGCTTGCAGTGATGCCTTGCACACATCTGTCAGCCCCACCTCCCACGGGGACTCTACGAAGTTGCCAAGCCTGACATCCCCACCTTAACCGCACAATGACTCTCCCCCATTAATATTGGACTGTCCCCGCTGCGGTAAACTCGGAATTTCCTCCCCAACACCAGCTGCTTCTCCTCTGATGTGCCACTAGGCCTGTCATCGGAGAAACAGCCGAGAAAAGGCATCCGGCATCTGTAACTCACAGGGGGTCCGTGAAAATTAAAGCAGGTAGATTGTCCTCTCAAAAGAGAAGTTTCTGGAAATAACTAAGGAATGAGTGTCCTGCTAATGGCCTCCTTCCCCTCCCTGGGCAATTTTTTTAAAAATTCACACACACACACACACACACACACAGTGATACACACCTCCTAAATTTTTATTTAAGAGCTGCATTAGTCATGGTTGATACTGAATTCTTGGAGAAAGAGCACAATTATTTTGAAAACACTGATTCTTTCTGAATCTGCAGATGATGTGTCCTAAGATGTGACAGCTAACTATGGGTGAAGATGGGTTTTCCAATTAATGCTTTCGAAAATTCTCAGGAGTAGATGGAAAATACTTTTTTAAGATTCGGGCTGAAAGTCGGTCCATGTATTTTTAGACACAGGTAAAAACAAGAGATGGGATACGGGGAGGCTGGGAAGAAAAATGGGAAGACCCCTGGGGCCGGCCAGCTTGTTTTTACTTTGATACAGAAGGAGAGAGGGAGAGGGAGAGGGTGGGAGGGAGGAAGAGAGAGAGAGGAAGAAGAAAGAGGAGGAGGAGGAGGAAGGGGAAGGGGAGAAGGAGAAAGGAGGGAAGAAAAGAGAAAGAAATGAGAACCACCAGGGGCTGGGGGTGTGGCTCAGTTGGTAGGGTGCTGGCCTTCTGTGCCCAAGGCCCTGGGTTCAATCCCCAGCACCACACAAGAAAAAAAAAAATGGAGGTGATCAAGTCAGGAATAGGTGGACCTTGTAGGTGAGTGATTTTTTTTAAATCTCCGGAGCTCATAAATACTGGAAGATTCATTGTTTCTCTGGGCAGATCACCTGTGAATTTCCTATAGAAGTAACTTCCCCTGTTCACAGCATAGAATAGGGCTCCAAAAGTTTCAGAGACCACTCCACCATCAAACCAAAGTTCAGGCAGAGAGGGGACAGCAGAGGATCAAGAAGAATATGGAGAACTAGGGAGCACACGTGTCATCAAAAAAGGGGGCGGCACGTGGTGACCCCAGGGTACCCAGGGGGGTGTTCTTAGCTCAATGAGACAGTCTGACGGATGTGGTTACAGTGTTCACACTTGGCACATGACTGACTGAAGGACCAGGAAGTCCATGCCACTGGTGTCTTTGATGGGATCCCCTGGAGAAGTTTCATCAGTAGTGCAGGGACATTTTGGCTTTTGGAAAAACAAAATGTGTCATCTCAGGAGCAAGGAATTCAAACTCCTGTCACCAAGTGCAGAGACTCCTGATTTATTTAGATGGTGCCTATCTTAAATAGGAGCCAAGATCTCTTGGAACATTTCAGTTGGTATAGACAACTTCCAAAGTCCCCACAAGTGACCCCCACCCACCCACCCACACACACAGGCAAATGAATCAAGCCCGTGCTGGGGCAATCACACCTTGACAACGTTGCACTCTTCCAAGGTGGTGGTTCACCTCATCCGTTTCCACGGTTACAGAGTCAGAAATTTGCATTTGCCTGTAGAGAAGGAGTAAGGATTTTACAATTCGTCCAGAGCTGTCGTGAGTAAGCCTAGATCTTTCTATTGAAGTGTTCAATCTCCAAATTTTTGAGCATGCACAGGAGAATATTGGACGGAAAGACAGAAGACCTGGGTTCTGGAATTCTAGCCATTAGCTGAGTGACCTCCCTCTGTGAAGGTCTTGCATGAGGTCACCCAGAGGCTGGTCCTGGGACTCTCTTACTCTTTACTAATTGCTAAGGAAGTCTTCCTAGCGATAGATGCGCTCTGTGCCTAGCAGCCTATTTCAAATCTCCTTTGGCTTTTCTCCTGGTCAAATTATATGGGAAACCAAAGAGAGATTAAAAAAGAAAACAGTCTGGGACTTTCAAAATCATAGATGATGGATGCGCACCACCTTATCACCGTATTAGATTTCTGAACAAAGATACTAAGAGGGATGATGCTAACTTGCAGAATCTAAGCCAGTGTATTTGACTTGGTTACCATTAACCAGAGTAGTTAAGTCAAAAAGGTCATTTGGGGGTGCCTTTTAACGTTGAATTCAGTTTTGCAGAATACTGATATATATTCCTACTTGCCGTAGAGATTTCAATGACTAGTTGCTACAGTAGTAGTTGAAGCTGCTCCTTATTGTGACGTCATTATACATTACCTCACTCGGGTATCTTTATTTTTCCGATCCTGCCATCAACCCCTTAAAATCTAATATAGTATAGCCCTCATTTATACATGCAAGAGAATCAGGATTTTTTTTTTAGTATTCCTGCTATTATTTCATTTGCAATATCAAAAAGATCTGGTCGATGATTCCCTCTGTAAGTCAGCAATGAAGAATGAGTTTATCAATTTTCATTCTGGCTCCAAAATCAGATCTATATTTGGCCGGAGCTCTAAGGCTATGACTATTTCTTCGAGGCTTTTGGAGAAATCTTAATTTTTTGTGGGTCAGAGTCTCCTTGCTATGTGCTAAAAAAAATGTGCAGTCCCTAAGAAATAGAAGGAACTATATGTTAAAAGTGCCTTGCAGATATTGGAACTGCGTCTCACTCATGGTAACATAGGCATTAGTGGCATTAGTAAGAATGTCGTTTTTCCTCCATTGACCACACTTCACCAAGGAAATGTCCCACAGATGATCTGGTGCTAGGAACAGGATCTAATCTTTGACATAGCAGTAAGAGCCTGATTGGAGGTGTTGAATACTGGCTCTTAAAGACTCGCTGGTGCCTATTGAAATATATGATTTTAAAACAGGAAGAGATTTCCTTATTCAACTAAAACAAATTAAAAAATGCAGAAACTAACTCACCCCGTCTTTTTTCTTTTTCCAAGAACACCTTCGAGAAAATATTGAGCCTTTATCCAACATTTAAAACATTTCTGCTGAGCATTGGTGAAGTCGTCTTAAGGAATATGTCCTTCCAGTAGGTGTTGAGTTTATAGTTTTGTAAATAACATTCTCTTGAAAAGTGTGATAAATGAGTTGTATTGGGGCCAGGATTTATGAGGAGAAACCAGGAGAGTGGATGTTGGAATCATCCAAGTAAGAGATGTTAGTGCCTTTGTCTTAAGTAGTAGCAGTGGTAATTGGTATTTGGGGCTCCTTTCCCAGAATCCAAATAAAAGAATCTTTCTGGGGCGCTGTTTCAGGTCACCCTCACCTACTTGTACTGTAGACTCCATCCCCCTCACCCAGCCAAAGAATTTTCTATAACCCATTGTTTTTCTGTTCCCTGTTCCGTTTCCAATCCTTTGTTCTCAGAGGAGCTAGAACAATCCTTTTAAACCCAAGTCCACTCATGATTCTCTCTTGCTGAAAACCCTTGAAAAGACTTTGAGAAAAACATCTAAAATCCTTCCCCTGGCCAACAGTCTCTATGAACCGTCTCATTCCCCCCATCATTCTGTTCTAGCCACCTACTGTCACTGAAAGACACTAACCCCATCTCTGCCCACGGTGGGTCTTCCTCTAACACACCTGTCCCCACACCCCGTGGCTGGCAGGCTTCTTTCATTTACGATCTCTGCTCACTCTCTCCTCTCGCCTGCTATTTCTAAAACAGCACCTGTCATTCTCCAACTCTTTTGTGGTCTTTGTTTTCTTGAGAGCATTTAGCGCCACAGGACAGAATTTTCCTTTTTAAAAACATTTTAATTTGTTACACGTGACAGCAGAAGGCATCACAATGCACGGTACACATACGTAGCCCCGTTTTTCCCATCTCTGGTTGTACACAGAGTCGAGTCACATCCTGCGTGTCTTCATGCATGTACTTAGGGGTCATGATTCCTTTCTGAGAATTGTGTTTATGAGCAGACTAATAAATACTTGGTTTGAACTTTAAAATATTCTATATTAAAGTCACCATGGATATCATTTGGCAGAAGAACTCAGAAACAGAATGAATGTGGAATATACCTCCCAGATGTGCAGGGGCTGCTTCCTGAGCTTTTAGGATTGTGTGTTTATTCTGCTATTCAACTGAGGATGCATTTGTGGGAAAGGTTGAAATGCACTGTTTTACACGGACTGGCCATTGTGTATATTGTGTGATTGAGGGAAACCTGAAGGTCTGTTTTCTTCCTCTTGTCTGTCTGTTCTTGATCTGCCATTACACCTGCAAAGTCTCACCCTGGGTCTCCCCTAGTGAAACCAACTCCCATTAGCAGTTAACTAGCAATGCCTCCCTGGGAAGCCTGGGCATGGTCTTCAGTTGAAATTCCAGGGTCTGATGAACAAGATTCTGCTGAGGGGGCCATAAAGAGAATGCAGTGGCTTTTAAAGAACTATAGGGACTCTCTCTCCACCCGCCCCCCCTTAGTTAACATTGTGGATAAACAGAGGAGCTCGGTTCCTTCTGGAACCCACAGTGACAGCTGCGGTGGCAGGTGAAGGTTCCTGACTGGTGGATGCTCTAAGTAGGTCTGAAGCCCTGCACTCCTCACTGTTGAGACATGCTGCCAAGAACCGGGTGCTTTTATTCCACAGCCTATTTATGCGAGGTGTAGGTGTAAATATAGACTTCAGATATCATGGTAAACTACGGAAATACAAATCCAGAAGGGAAGGGTTGTCATTTCCATAGGAAACTTGTGAAATCCTTTGGAGAAGATTCAAGGAAAGTTAATGAGAAAGGAAGGGAGGGAGGGGAGGGAGGAGGGGAGGGAGGAGCAAAGGAAGGAAGGGAGGGGAAGTGGGAGGAGCAAAGGAAGGAAGTGAGGGAGGGTGGGAGGAGGGGAGGGAGGAGCAAAGGAAGGAAGTGAGGGAGAGTGGGAGGAGGGGAGGGAGGAGCAAAGGAAGAAAGGGGGTGGGAGGAGGGGAGGGAGGAGGGTGAGAGGAAGGGAGGGAGGAGCAAAGGAAGGAAGTGAGGGAGGGTGGGAGGAGGAAAGGGAGGAGCAAAGGAAGGAAGTGAGGGAGGGTGGAAGGAGGGAAGGGAAGAGGAGAGGGAGGAGGGTAGGGAGGAATAAAGGAAGGAAGTGAGGGAGGGTGGGAGGAGGGGAGGGAGGAGCAAAGGGAGGGAGGGAGGAGGGGGAGGGAGGGGGAAAAGGAAGAAAGTGAGGGAGGGGGAAAAAGAAGGAAGTGAAAGAGGGAGGGGGAGGAAAGGAAGGAAGTGAGGGAGAGAGGGAGGGAGGGGCAAAGGAAGGAAGTGAGGGAGAGTGAGAGGTGGGGAGAGAGGAGTGAAGAAAGGAAAGGAGGGAGGGAGGAAGAAAGGTCGAGAAGGTTGAAAGGAGGGAGAAGAGAGTGAGAAGGGGGGAGGGAAGAATGCAGAAGGAGGAAAGGGAGGAAGAGAGAGAGTGGAGGAAGGAAGGGAAGGAGGAAGGGATGGGCGGGAGTGTGAGAGGAAGGGAGCAAGACAGGCGCAGAGCTTATTTTTAAACAAAACAGTTGTAACTCAGACCGCCACATGACCCTGCCTCCTCTCTTTACAAGTCATTTTCTAGCAGGAGTTGAGCTGTGAATGAGAGTCGGCGGTGCTTGAGAAATATAATGAAGGAGGTAGTTTCTGTGAAAGTAACACCCAGCCAATAGTCAGGTGAGAAAATAGATTAATGCTCAGGGACGCAGTGGCCTTACAGCCAAATGCTGAGGAACAATAAATTTAATTGTCTAAGTAATAAGTGATTTTATGAATGAAGTAACATAAACACACCATGTACAAATAAGTCAGATCTATCACTGATAATAAATGGGTTTAGTTCCATCCAGTGGTG